TTTCCAAAGTGACGATTCTCGCACACCTTTACATTTCACATGTCTGCCCCCTTAAACTGCGCTGTAAATTGCCTACCAACAATAGGTTCGCAATGCAAAGCAAAACCTTCGTAACTTACGAAGAATTTTGAAGTGTTGTATTACGAACTAATTGCTCGTAAGCTCACGACCAAACACAAAGAAATAGTTCGTAATGCAAACCTATTGTTTGCACGAACCTTCCTAGCCTTTGCAAACAATCGCTTAACAATCAAGAGACTACAGAGAGGGGACAGCAAGCTCTCTTCTCCGTCGCTGCCACCTTGCCGCACGTTGAGACATCTAGCCCCCTCAATATTTATCGCGTAGACCCCGCTTTGGTCTAGAATTGTAGGGGAAGGTCTACCGATGGCCGCGGTACCAAAAGTTGCGTCGAAAGTCTAGCCAGATTTGAACGGCGAGCGCTGGAGTCCGCAGAGCGCCCCGGGAACCGGGCGCGGCGCCGATCAGCCAACGCCTTCTAGCACAGCAGACTGCCCTCTCTGTGTCTCTTGAAACAATTTCTTCGAAATAGAAAAAAACCGAGCAAAGCAAAAGACTAAAATTGTATGTACCGTTGCATTTAGTTCGTAAGCATTTTGGTGTGTCAGAAAAAAAAAAAAAAAAAAAAAAGGTAGTCTACCCCCTATCCCACCGTCGGGGGCTTAAGTGTCGTGACGGACTCGCCATGCGCCCTAGGGTACAGGTTTCTGATTTTTGATATTTGTCCTATGCGGAAACCATAAATAAAACCGCGAAGAACGCCGGTTAGCAGATGCGTGATAACTATCAAAGCAAGCTAAGGGGAGACCAAACTGAAAATATATTAATTTTGTGTTCAAAAACCACCTTTCTGGAACTTTGTGTGGGAACACTGTTAAAAATGTTTAAAATTTTATTATGTAGTCAACCGAGTAGTCAACATTAATTTTAATAAAGGTGTCATAAATTTAATGACATTCTAAATTTAAGAAGAATGTTATTAAATTTGACGACAATTTCATGGCACGCCATTGAAATTTCATTACAATCCTATTTTCATAACACATGTTATGATATTTTTATTACATGTCTATTAAACAGTCGGGAATCGCCCTCCACCCAGCGGTGGCATGATACTGCTTTAAAGCTCGGTCAGTCTCAGGTAGCCTCGTGCCGAGTGGTCAGTGGCGAGGGTTCCGGGTTCAACTCCCTGTAAGGTACTCTTAACATGTATGGTTACGGCCAGGAATATCCGTTAGTTGGTTGAGGAGTTGAATATAAAAGAGTTGAAGTAAAATCGTGAATTGGAAAGCTCTACAATCATAATGCCAAATGACAATTAGTTTACAAGAAGTAAATGTGCCTCACACCACAGCAGATGTAGGTGGGACACAACTAATTACGGGGAGCTGGGCGCCAGAGTCGGAATGTGCTCGCGATATGAGTGCTCAGCGAGAGCCAATTAAAAACTTATCCAAGATGTTGAATATTGAGAAAAATTGGAAGATAAATGTGCATGTATATCGGGGAGACGCTGCTCTATCCGGCCAACAATAGTTCGGAATGGAAATTTAAGAAATTTAATGGATATTTGGCACAAGAAAAGTATCAGTTACCCGGTCGATGCGCCATCTGGTGGCAAATAGTGGAAGTGCGCTTGACAGGTGCATGGTAATCGTTGTTGCGAAAATAATACGCTACTTAACTTTACTTGCCATAGTATTAATGTTCGAAACGTTGAAAACCGCCACACTCGCACGTATAGTAGGGAAACCGGCGCGGCGTGTCAAGCGGGTCCCCAGGACCATCCAGGTCACACATCTGGCACCGGTGCAAATTCATTTAGGACCATTGCTGAACTGGAACTGATGGTATAATAATTTGGTATTTCAGCCAAAACTGTTAAATCTACAATATGAAAAATTTACATCAGTCCGAATTGAATACAGCTAAAGGAGTTTCAGTCTTATGATGAATGATTAATACTGCATAGCTACCCCGTCTTTCTGACGTGCAAATTGTTTTGATTGTGGAGCCGATATGGTCGTGTTAAACGCATTCAGCACGTAACTGGTTAACCGAATACATAAGGTCACTAATGGTCCTATCAGTGGCGCTAACCGTCCTGGAAATTTGTGAAATAACCGGGAAATACCAAAAAAACACAATTTACCTTCAGTCTCTTGTGTGTCCATGAGCAAATTATATGACTCTTGTCTTTCTCAAGGTTTCAGGGATGTTCATGGGTTTGAACTCCGTTTTTATGATCATCACGGCGCTGCAGAACTCCTCCACGTTACAAACGGTCCTGTTGCCTGTCAGCAATGTCTTTGACTGCTACTCGGCGTTCACATGTCTATCCGTGTCACGCCAGGCGCGCTTCTGGAGTATCCTGCGGAAGATCCTGAGACTTGTTAACGTCATGGAGGCTACTCTGGGCGAGAAGGTTACATATCACAAACAATCAAAATACTGTACCGGCCAATAAAATGGGTGATTCTCAGCACATAATGTCATTTCGGCACCTTAGACTAAAACGCACGCAGTTCAACTGCACGTTTCGAAACTCACGCAGTTCAGCCGCCCGCTTCGAAACCCACGCGGTTGCCCACTCCGCGTGAAAGTCACGTAGTTGCGTTTTACTGCGAGCGGCGCGTCAGTAGGCGGGCAACGGCGGGTCGGTCGCCTTCTCCGACGCTCTGCGGCCGGTATCGAACCACGTGGGTTTCCCAAGCGAGCGGCGAACTGTGCGGGTTGGGTTTCGAAACGGGCGGTTAAACTGCGGGCGTTTTAGTCTAAGACGCCAATTTTAACTTGCCAAGTTATACACGTTTAGAAATGCATCAAATTTTATTCGTACTTGCTGTTGTGGTCGTAGTAGGTACAAGTGGCCATAAATAGATGCTTCAGCTAGAAAAGGTTGGCAGAGGCCATGCTTTCACTTTGCCTTCAAAAACATCAGTGAGCGAATGTTGCTAAGGGATATTTTCCGACCCATTTACCGAAAAATCTACGCGAAGGGGAAAGACCTACAGTAACTGAATTTCAAAAAGTCATCTAAGTTGCACCCTTTAAATATCGTATTGACCTTGTAATGGTGCTAACACGGTGCAAAATCTGGGCTGCACCAGACAACGCTTTCCTGCCCCGGATCGCATGCGATGTTGGGAAATCAAATCGTACGTCAGAGAGACCACCATTTTGACCACCAGCTGCGCGCGACTGGTGCGCCTAGGAAGGACAGGGCACGGCGCGGGCGCCTCTCCAGCTTCCGTTTTTGTTCTCCTTACTACCGCCCCGCGCTCCGTTGGAATACATTGAATTTATTAAGGATCCTCAAAAAGGGCTATGAAGCCCCACTACATGAGAACCAGCTCTCTAGCAGGGGCAGGTAGAGAGAGAGAGAGAGAGAGAGAGAGAGAGAGAGAGAGAGAGAGAGAGAGAGGGGGGGGATCACTGCCTGGTAAAGAAAGCCACATTCAAGGGAAAGTATAAAATTATACCTAAAGCGGCCGATTTCAAACATCACCACGGTGCCCTGTTCCGAGCAAGAGAAGAATAAAACCTCCGGAAATAGTGTAAAAAATGCGTTGGCACGAATGCCGATAGACATTTTCGCCCACAACTTGGCAGCAACGCAAATCTCTGTAGTGAAATTGTTATTTAGGCAAATTTTCAAAAAGCAAAAACACTTGTCTCTTGTAAATTTTCCAAGGAATCCAGTGGTGATGAGTACTTTGGTTGACAGACACTCAAAATACGGTTCATCTCAAGTATAAGATTCTACTTGCGGCGTTGCCAAATGTGGGCGAAAAGGTCTATTTCGACTTCTATTCCTACTCATCTAAGATGTTCCTGGGGAGGGGAGGGGGGCTGTCAAATGAACTCGGCTAAGGGTAGGCCCTAGAGACTTTTTTAACTATAGTAGACCCCCAAAAGTCGACCCCTACGAACTCAGTGGTACCATCCACAAGGTTGTGCGACGTATCGTTCAGGCTGTAGGGCATATGGACCGGAAAAATCCAAGATAGCGGAGGACGTTTTTTGGGTGGTCTCAGTTTCTCACTATTTATTTGATAGAAGTTTTTGGGTGGGTAATTGGCCGGGTTGATCGATAAACACTCCCAGGCCATATCCAGTACTTGTGCGCCTTGCCGGTGTTGGTGTAGCACAAAGCAGCACCCTCAAAATTAACATGTGTTTAAATATCGCGCCATACCGGGTGATGGGGTCAATCACGATCACGCTGCGATTTCGAAACTGAAACTAAACTAGGTAGATGTAAGGCAGACCCCGTTTGGCGTAACAGGCTTCGCGATATTCCACGAAACACTGTAACGCTACGACGCGATTCGCATACCGACGCGTCCGTGCAACAATATCCTATCCGTTTCGCTGCCCCGAAAGACTAGCCTATCTGTTTCGCTGCTCCGAAAGACTAGCCTATCTGTTTCGCTGCCCCGAAAGACTAGCCTATCTGTTTTTCGGCGCTTTCTGCAGCGCTGTCTTCCTTTCGTTGTAGTTTTGCTAGTATTAACAGGAGAAACAAAGTAAATTTGCTATTTGTTCCTTAAACTTTAAGGAACAGGCAGCAGTTTTTACATTTTTTCTACCGTTAATATTGGCAAACCCATAATAAGAAGAAGACAGCGCTGCAGAGAGCGCCGAAAAACAGATAGGCTAGTCTTTCGGGGCAGCGAAACAGATAGGATATTGTTGCACGGACGCGTCGATACATCTACCTTGGCCTGCGGCGCTGGCACCGGAGTCGGGCAAAAGGCAGAGTCGTAGATAGGCCTTCGGCTCCAAAGAACACAGATTTTACCCTCAGGATTTTATTTTGACGGGTTGCCCCACCAGAGACCATCAAATATCTGAGACACAAAATGATTTGGGGTCATTTTCGTGTGGTACTGGACCATTCCGGTAAACCGGAAAGAAAGAAGAAGAGACGGAAGAAGCAAAGCGTTCTATGAGAAATGTACGGTGCGCCTTGGGACCGCTTGAACGTAATCCATAACTAGATATTCTGCGTCGCCTGAGAGTGAGAACTATTGACATTAACTCTCAGACGAATTTAGACATCAGACAAGTCACGTTTAACCGTTTGATACGACCGTGGAACCGACGCACCACCGTACATTTCTCATACT